AGGCGGGGTGAGCAAGGGTGACAAGAACTGCGTGATGTCATGTGACACAGACAAACGCTTCAGCTCTGCATCCAACGGCTTGGCAGCTCCCACTGGTTTCTGGAGCTTTCCTTCAAGGTTGTTCGCTGCCCTGATGAAGAGTTCCTTATCTGCTGCTACAATCTGGGACAAGGAGACCTTGGTGTACCCGGTGGGAACCTGCCGCTGGGTCAGTTCGAAGATGGTGTTGACCCACTCCTCCATCACCTCAAAGGTGCAGAGGTTCCCTAGGTCCAGAGCTAGCGAGCGGCGAAAGAAGGCTTGCCGAAGCGCATAAGCGCCATTTGTGTCGCAAACCGGATCCGGGACCTTAGTGCCTAGCTTGAGGTTTCCCTCCGCGTCGATTTGGATCGACGAGTCCTTCTTTGCCAAGCTCAGCTCCTGTGACCGGGAGGTCCACCTGTTCATCGGCAGATACCGCAAGGAGTTGTTTTCCAACATGTCGGTGACCTGATCGATGCTCGCATGGGATGGCTGGTTCGACACCGTGAAGACGACTCCCTTCAAGCGAGCCTGCTGAGCTTCTTGTCTGGCTATTCGTTCAGCAGTGGGAAGTTTCTTGATTGTGTTTTCAGGCTGGCCTTCCACACGGGTCCGCAAGTCAGCTATGTTGAGCGACTGGCTTTCAAATAGGAGCCGCCTGATCACCGAAACCTGGAACGCTGAAGGCCTTGGATCTACGACCGTGGCCAACCACACATCGATGGCCTCATCGGTAAGGGCCTGCGGGGAGCTCGCAGCAGCAAAGGCGATCTTCCCGAAGGTGTCATAGCCCTTATCTTTGAGCTTGCCATACAGCTCCGGCGTCATGCCGATTCGGAGACACCTTTCTTGAAAAGCAGCCTCCGAGTCCAAGGTGGCCGACGTCATGGCTGCAAGCGATCACGATTAAACCCCCGAGTTCGGTGATCTTGGATCAACGTTTGACAAGTGATGCTCTCGTGCCAGCAACCGTCATGGTCCTCCGCTGTGAGCCACGGCCGCAATAAGGGCAGCTCAATCATCCACCCGTGCCACGGGCCAACCCTGGCCGGCACAAGGCGATACACGATCACAAGGCCAGCCCCGGGTATCGTGAGATACCGGCTGACATTTGCATGTGGTGACTCGGACTTACAGTCATCACCGCGTGCATCAATCCCAGCGCTTCTCTCTCAAGCCGTCATGGGTCAAACCGACAAGTTCTGTCGTCAGATATATCACTCGGGTCTCGGGTGAGAAACTCACCGACCCAGATCACAAAGGGGTATGCCCAACCTTGCGTATCAGCCCTAAGCCATCGTAGCGCCATAACTACACGACCGAGGCCACGGGCACAAAAGCCGGCCGATCAGCATGGACTGTTTCAAGACTTATGAGGCTTCGACAGGTCCTGGCATCCCAATTTGTGAATGTTGCAACCACTCGCTCCCCACGACTTTTGTCTGCGGCGTCTCAGACCTGGTCAAAACTCCGATGCCCGACGACACTGAATACACGGCTCGGGCTCCTCCTCGTCTTCAGTGGTGAAGACTCTGTACCTTGAGGTGACCGGCCTCCCGCAAAAGAAGCTTGAAGCATCCCTAAGTTTGTGTACGATGTTTGACAGGGAATGGATCATCAGCTGGTCAGCGGTGCACTCCGTAAAGGGGAGCCTAGACCCGGTAGCCTCCGCTGGGCGCCCGAAGAATTCCGTCTCGGACTCAGCGGACCTCGAAGCCAAGGACTCCAGCTCGTCGGGTTCCTCGTTCGGTGGTGCCGGAGCATCTGGCTCCGGGCGGCTGAAATGTCTTGACGCTACAGCTGCAACCCTGTCAGAAGTCGACATGTCGGGATCGAAGTCCCCAGCACGGATGCTCTCGAAAAGTGCAAGGAGTTTCCCAGCGAGGGAGATGTAGTACTGGCGGGAGTAGATGAGATTAGATGAACCACCACGTTTGAAGTGGTACCCGAGCAGCAACTTCTCCTTGGCACTGAAATGGACTGTGGAGCTCCATCCCACCCATGAAAGTAAGGTAGCCTTCAGACTATGTGCACCAATCGACTCGTCAGGAGAGGCCCCCATGCCAATGGTAAGAAGGAACTCCTCAAGGAGGTCCGATCGCTCCTCCGAACTCATAGGTACCGTGGCCCAGCAACCGGCCCGCTGAGACCAGGACGGAAGGCACCCCGCTGAGAAGTCAAGGCCTTCAGCAGCACGAGCCTGTAGCCACAACTCCGCCCAAGGTTGGCCGCTTGCCCCTCCAGCCACGCATACGTAGGGCAGAAACTTCGTTTGGGCGTCAGCCGTCAAAGAAGTCTTAGAGCCCAAGCCAGAAGCAATAAGAAGTTGCCCGCGGCCTTCACCTATCAGCTCGAGTTTCTTGACTTTTTGAGCATCCGCCCACCGGCAACATGAATGCACGCAGAAGACCATGAGGCCGAGCACGCATTGTAGCCAGGTTGAAGACTTGGTCATAAGCTCCTCCAAGGCTTTAACCCTCGCATACGACAAGGGGTCTCGCTGCTTGAGCGGCTCCTTGTTAAGTCGCATGTCTCTGGCAATGCCCCGCACCCGTGATGATAGAATGACATCCAAGGACATGAAGTTGAAAACAGCCACCCCGTGCAGAAACCCCAGCGCTTCCACAAAGTGTGAGGCAGTCGAGGCCTTGGCATCCACTAATCTCAACGGATTGGCTAGGCAGATCCCCAACCGACCCCCTGAAGTCCCGAAGTCCCCTAACACCCCCTGGCAGAGACTCGGGACTGGCTGAAGGCAGGTCCCCCAGCGACAAAGGAGGCTCAGGCGGGAAAGGTGCCGGCTCAACCGGAGTGGAGACCTGTTGCAAGAGTTGCCCTGTCACAGGGCAAAGCACTGGCACCTGCTGAGGCGCCGGAAGCGTCCCGTCCATCTAGCACCCCCAACGGGGGGGCGCCGTGCACTCAGCTAAAGCCTTGAGATTAGCACCTGGAGGCTTCTAGCTTGCACAATACGGGACTCTAGAGGCCTGAAAAGAAAAATTTCTTGCCTCTCTCTTTGAGCAGACTCGCGGGAAAGCCCAAGGTATCCGATCTGCTTATTCAAAGACAATGAAAGTTCTCATGCAAGAAATGTTCTTCAAAACTCACATGCAAAACACGGCAGCTCTGCTGCCTGTCAGGTTTTTAAAAGAAAGAAAAGTCTGCAAGCAGAAAATGTTCATCTTCGCCTTGGTTCGCACGTCCTCGGCCGCCTTTCTCCAGGGATGCAAGCTTGCGCCTCGCCTCGTTGGAGGAGTCCCGGTCCCGCAACACGGCAAGGAACACCTCCGACCATCGCGGATCGAAGAGAGCACTCGTCTGGCTCTCGGAGGCCTGGGGCATGCTGTGCTTCGAGAACTCCTGGTAGGTTCAACTTTACCTAACCCAAGACACGCTACGAGCTACAGAGCAAAGCTAAGCAGAGAGACCTTTTGACTTTGCCGGAAACGCGAGAAGTAAGTTGAAGCTGCAAGCCAAAGCTAAGCAAAGTAAAGCTACAACGAAGCTTCGAGAGTTTAGACCCCCCTCGCCCAAAGTAAAGCAACAAAAGTACGAAAAGTATAAAAAGCTATGATAACAGCTAAGATAGAACATCACAAAGGGTAGGGCGGGAGGGTCAAATTTTTAAAGCATGGAGCAAAGCTTTAAGCTATGCTGAAGCACGCGTGTCTTGGGCCGAAATGTTGTGTTTGGAACATGGTAAAGTAAAACACCCATGAGTAAACACATGAAACGAAGACCAGGACCTCGATCAGGGCTGCTCGGGCTCCCCTTGGAACCTGCTACGTGCGAGGGAACAGGAGGGCAACAGCCCTCGGGAGTCCAGATTCTCTGAGGAGAGGGGCTTTTCAGAGTTTGATTTTGGGAGTCTCGCCACCCATCCTTCGTTGGATAGGGAACCTTCTGATTTAGCTTACGAACCCTCCCTTGCTGAGGAAAGGGAATGGTACTCGCAGGTAGGAGAGACAGACTCCCTTAATCCTCCGATAGAACTTCGTGGAGCTCTTCCTCCTGACATTGTTCAGGGGGGGGAGACGGCTTCTTGGTTGTGTGGTGCTGCTGCTGATGATGATGCGAGACAGGCCGCCACGGTGGCCTTCTGCAAGAAGAGACGACTCGACCTGCCCTCGCTGCCGTGGAGCCAGCCCAAGACATTTCTTCAGAAGTCCTACGATAACATTTTCAATTTTGTGCCTGCAGTGGGAGTGAGGGAAGTCTTTATGGGAGCAGCGTCTTCATCGGAGCCTGCACCGGAAGCAGCAAGTGAAATTCCGTGGACTGTGGTGCGTCGCCTGACGCGTGTTCGCTTGACCAAAAGTGACGATGACATTCGAGATGGGGCCTTGAAGCGTTTCAAGGTCTTGATACTGCTAGACCCGGAAGCGACTCGCCTTGGGGCAAGCCTGCTGAAACAAGGATTGGGTCTGGAGCCTGACGAGGTGATTGCAACTAGTCTGGCGGATGCCTTTAGGGCCAAGGCCTCCACAACAATTCAGAAACGAGCTCTCTCGCTGCAATCTTTGGCTATCATGGCTTATGACCTAGGCTTCGAGTCGCCCTGGCGCTTGACCGAGCCCCAGGCCTACGAACTTTACCTAACCCAAGACACGCTACGAGCTACAGAGCAAAGCTAAGCAGAGAGACCTTTTGACTTTGCCGGAAACGCGAGAAGTAAGTTGAAGCTGCAAGCCAAAGCTAAGCAAAGTAAAGCTACAACGAAGCTTCGAGAGTTTAGACCCACAGTTTAACCGGCAAAGTCAAAGTCTCGCACTATGGTTCCCCAACGTTCAAAGTGAGGGTTTGACGCGCTCGCTCAGTGAAACGCTGCACCCCGGGCAACAATCCTGCGGGCGTAAAGCAGCACCATGCCACCCCGGGCAATCATCCTGCGGGTGGAGCATATGCTGCACCCCGGGCAAACATCCTGCGGGCGTAAAGCAGCAGCATAAAGGCCCCGGGCAAAGATCCTGCGGGCACTGTCATATGTCATCGTCTGACACATGTCGTTCCTGTGTCACCGCTGGTAAAGAAAAGTGGGAAGGCCACACCAGGACCTCCTTGCGAAAGAACCAGATGAACTTGAGAGAGCAATCCACTCGGTCTTCTTTGCGCCATTTGTCAGGTAAAGAATCAGTTTGATTCCACCTGCTCAACAGATCTGCATCATCATTTTTCTCACCGGCGATGTGAGAAATATCCAGCTCAATACCCGAAGCTGCAGATATGAGGGAAAGTTTCTGGGCAAACGCTCCCAATGGCCACTTGGCAGTGTAAAGCTTCGCCCCCAAGGCCTCTGTCGAAGCGTTGTCGGAAAAGGAGGGGAGGCGAACTGCCACACGACCCGAAGGAAATACTGACCTGTAAGCATGTACCAAAGCAATCTGTGCCAAAGTCTCATAGCAGGCAATGTCCTTATGTGCGGGTCGGCGAAGTTCCAAGCTCAAAACCGACAAATCGGAAAGCTGCCAGGCCTGAGAAAACCAAATGTAGGCACCGGACGGGAAGGCAATAAAACCGCCAATCCCAATGAGCTCTCCATCAGCTCTTGCATCCGCAAAGGCCTCAACCTGGAGTCGCAAAGGAACAGAAAGAGCCGTATAAGGCTGAGGTCTTCGACACCATTCTCTCCAGAACGAAAGAAAGGTCCGCGATGCTGGTGACAAAGAACGCCGATCAGATTTGGGATTGGTCACCCGCATCCAGATCCGATTGGAGGTACGGACCTTGCAAAGGTCTTGCTTTGTTTTCAGTTCTGTATGTCGTGCTTCCAGTAATTTGCCTCCCAGCGGAACTTGAATACCCGGAGGTACGGATGTAAAGCGAAGATCATCGTCAAGGTAGTTAGCCAAAGAAGGCCAGAGCCCCTGTGATATGCTATACTGGGAAGCCAAATGCCGATGTAGATCTGAGAAAAGGGACGCCAGCCAGGGTTTGCAAGATCTGTAAAGCTGACAAAACCACTGTAGTAGTCCTACCAACTTGTGGAGCAAAGCACTGGTAACCCTTCTGGACCGTGTAGCATCCTTGATCAAGTTGAAAAGCTTATCAACTTTTTCTTGCGGAATATGAAAAGAGCCGCTGGTAAAGTTGAATGTCCAACCAATCCAGGTAATGCAACTTCCCAATTGTAACTTGGCCCAGCTCAAAGGCACTCCGAATATAGATGTAAAGCAAAGTAAGAGTGACGCAGAGTACAGGATGCACTCTCGGTCCTGGATGAAAAGAAAATCGTCGACGTAGCCCATAAGAGCATGGCGCACAAAGATCCAGAGATGCATGAGTCGTAAAAGCATGCCCGCCAGTCGCTGAAACCACAAAGCAGAGAAATTTGCTCCGAATGGACAAACTCGGTAAAAGAAAAGTCTGTCATCCTTACCGTCTCCACCCGGTAAAGTGACACCGAGCAGTCCCTGGTCAGCCTCTTTGACCCTAACCGTTTTATGCGCCGCCTTGACGTCGAGATGGAAGCCTTCACACAGGCCTGCATGAAGGCGCAAAGGAAAGCAATCTCGAACATCTTGTAGACCTGGCAAAGTGTAGCGCTCAGGGATAGAGCATGCATCGTTGGTGCCACACACGGTGGAGTCAACCACCAGCCTGGGAGCTCTCGGGGGAGAAAGTACGAGGGACATTTTCCCTACAGCAACGCGCTCTCCCCAACGTTCCTGTGCCGCCTGTAAAGAAGGCATCTCAAACAGCCATCCTTTCTGGACCTCGGCATGCACCAACTCTCGCAAAGTGTCTGGATCATTATTGGCACTTTGCCAGTTGTCCTTGGCAATGGAAAGCTGGTGATCAAGTTCCGGTGCTGTCGGATGCGGTATGAAAACCTTGGAGAGCGGGATGTCACTGTCATATCCTGTGGGAACCCCATCAAGCAGGCACTGGCAAAGGGTATCATCCTTGTCCTTGACAAACTGTGAGAAGAACTTCAAGGCATGCAAAGCGTAAGGTTGATGGTCCGGAATCGTCCAGTCAATCACATGTGACGATCCTTGTTCTGAGACCCAGGACTGAAAAAGCTGTCTGAGATGCTGAATCTCGCCCTCCTGAAAGAGTGGCTCTGAGCTGTGCTGCAAGGCATGGGCCTGTAGTCGTTGAGGGATCTTTTCATCGAAGATCCACTGCCGAAGTTTGGACCTGAGATCGCAAAGCACATCCGGAACCCCAGGTGGAGGCGTACTCCAATCAGGCACTGAGTAGATCCCAGCACCATCCTGGATGGCAAAGGATGGATCGAATCTCGCTTTCACATGCCTCAGAAAAGGAATCTGGCCAAACTGCAAATCTTTAGGTTCCGGACTTCTTTGAGTGAAAAGATGCAGGGAACCCTCGGCCACAGCGAGCACAAAGTCCGCGCTCAAGGAAGAAAAGTCAAATTCCCGATGGGCCTGCATTGAAGACCCCGTCGAGGAAGCAGTGGCTAAAAATTGCAAAGATGAAAAGGACGCAGCCAGGAGACCAAAGCCTTCGAAGTTGCAACCAAACCGTTGGGGGTCCCAGAAAATAGCATCTGCGCCCATCTGCTGTAAAAGAAAAATCACCGAAGCATGACTCCACACTGAAGAACCAGAGTGTTGAGAAAGCAGCACGTGAGAACCCGCTGCAAAGCATGCATGTGCTATCTGAATCATGCGATCGAAAAGATTCGAAGTCAAATCACTGGCGCAGAGCAAGATGTGCAAAAGGGCAACCTGCCCAGAGTGACAAACCCTGAGCAAGGAAAAGAAGAACGCATCTTGTAGAAGGTCACGTTCAGGGAAAATTTCGGGAGCGACCGAGAAAGTATCACAGCCAGCTCCAAGAAATGCTGCTGAAAGAGGGCGCCGGGCCCCCCCGTTGATGTCCAGGAAAATGCCTGAGTCGAGTTCCGAGACAGAGCATGCAAAGTTCTGAGGAGCACTCTGTACCACGGGCTCCGGAGGAGTAGCACATGGTTGTGGAAAAGGAGCATCTCCTGTAGCATCTGCAGGCAAAGCAACTGGAACCAGGCCTTCCTCGCCTGCATAGTCCGGGCCCGGTCCCCCTCATGCACCTGCCTTTTGTGCATGCTGAAAAGCCGGATGCTTCTGCAGGCAAATCTTGCCGTTCTCCAGGATCACGGGGCAAAGGTGCTCAAACTTGCAATTGTTGGAAGTGCAGCCTTTGTGGGTACTGTATGCCATGCAAAGCACCTTGGTCTCACCATTGATCTTCGCTTTGTTTGCCCACTCAAAGGCATGTGTACCTTTGGTAAAGGTAGATTTCCCCTTTCCTGGAGTTGTGCCGCCTTTGCCCCCTGTGGACTTGCCTGCTTATTCCATATAATCCCATGTTCTCCGCAACGTTGCGAGAGGGCACGTCGTCGTAAAGGACGTCGGTAAAGTTCTCAAATCTCGCCAACTTTCTGGGCCTGGACGAGTTGTAATCCTCTTCTTGTTGTTTGGAAAGTCTATGTTTCCAGGATATGAACTTCCAGTCCGACGTGCCTTTAAGCCTGTAAGCGAGAGAAAGCAAACGCGCACTCGGAAAGTTGGTGTCATCGAGAATTTCGGATGGGTAGGATTTCTCAAAATCCCGCTTCAACTGCAAAGTCGTTTCCGAGGAGAGCTTGGGAGGAAAGGTCTCCGCCCAAGACGTATGCAAAGTACTCGCAGAGGAATCTGAGGCCACCGACGGCAAAGTGCATATCTTGTGAGCCTGCACCCACAGCATCCTGAGGACAGGGAGTTCATCTGCATCAGGTGACCAGCCTTTGGAAGCCAGGAAAGCATCCAGACCTTCCAGGTTTACGGTGCCAAGGCCAAACGAAAGCAAAGTCAAATCACCAAGAGAGGCTGCAGATGCCGGAATCGAGAGTTGCAAAGCTGTGGCTAACTGCTGCATCGTAGATCTCGAGGATAAGGAATCCATAACCTGACAAGCACGCTGGTGGCAGAGGTTAAGCAAGAACATATGCGAAAGTGCAACAGGGCAAGCGGAAATTTTTCTCGAAGAGCAAAGGAAGTCGATGACGCGTGCTGCTGGGTCCCAAACGAAAGGAAAAAGGCCGGAGGCCCGTGCGAGGCTAAGCAAAGCATACCTACAGTGAGCAAACGCTAAAGTAAAGTAACAGCTGTGGGAACCCAGCATTGACGCAATTAAGAACTTCACCGCCAGAAAAAGCACCGTAAAGGACGCGTCTGGCGGTAAAGTATGACGCTACTGCCCGTGCGCATTGCAGAAAGTATTGCGCCCCTGACGTCGACGGTATTCTCCATAACAGAGTCTGCAGCGATGGACATGTGCATGAGTAGGGTCAAGCAAAGTAGCACCGCATGTACCTGCTCCTGAGCAGCTTGTGCAACCTTCTCGGCACCAGAATACCGTTGCCCGTTGGATCAACTGTGTTTCGCCCCACGAGGTACGAAACACACGCTGGTTGTGCGGTAAAGTTCTGGTACCCGCACTGTCCGTGGGTTCTGAGCTTTGCGGTAAAGAACTACCGTCTTGTGCTGGGGTAGTCCCCGAAGTAGCCGACGATCGTAAAGGAGGGGACGAGTCGGTAGAGGTCGTCGAAGGCAAAGGATCCGACTGGGTAGCCGAGGTGGAGCCAGCTGCACCATCTGGAGGCGGGTGCAAAGTATCTGAACTCCCCTGGGATGCCCGCAAAGAAAGCCAAAACTCCAACCACTGCTGTCTATCGTACCCCATCCAATCCTCAAAGAATGAGGTAGCCTGCCACAACTCTGCCTCCGAAAGCTGCGAAAAGTTCCACGGCACATAGTTGAAGTCCTCAGCCTCCTCCGTGGTGGGTGTAGGCAAAGAAGAGGGCGGCTCATCAGTGGAAAGCACCTCAGTTGTCGGCGGGGTGGAGGGTGGATCCGCATCCACGGTGCACGGCAAAGTTTCGCCCGGAGCTTCGGATTCCGTCTGCAAAGTAGTAGTGTCCGGGCTTGGGTCCCAGCGCTCCAGGTGTCTGGTAATGTCGCTAGGGACCCAGGGCTCTGAGGAGGCCCACGGTTCTTCCTCCCAGGAAGGCGCCGGAGTCGGCACCCAGTCCTCTGTGCCCCATTCGTGGCCAGGGCCTTCCGAGGCTGGCAAAGTAGATGGGGGAGCCTCTGCAGGTGTATGCAAAGTAGAGGTATCCTCCGTAGTAGCCCCATCAAGTTCATCCGAGGGTGCCGGCTCCGTCGTAGTAGTGCAAGGCAAAGTAGAAGCGAGATCCTGGGTCGAGGCATCCACTTGATCTTGCAAAGCTGAACGCCAGAAGCTGAACCACTGCTCACGGGAATAACCGTCCCGCCCTGCGAAACGTTCCGAGGCATCCCAGAGATCCCAAGCCGAGAGCTCCGAAAAGTTCTCCGGAAAGTAGTCACTCTGTGCCATGACGCAAAGAAAAGCGGAAGCTTGCGAAGGGAACGCGTGCAAAGGCTCGGGCAAAGCTCTACGCGGCACACGAAGCTTCACATAAGAGACTGTGCTGCTGCTTGCAACGCTGAATCACAAAGTTGGCATGTGACTACGCTGATAAGCACGCAAAGCTGACGAAGTGTGACGCGAATTCGGCTCCATTAGGCCGAATATATATATATATATATATATATATATATAGAAGAAGCGGGGTCTGATAACCCGTTATAGACGCAAGCAACGCACGCGCTTGTTCAAGACGCAAGTAGCGCACAAATGGCGCACATTAGGACGCAACACTGCGCCGATTAGGACGCAAAGGCGACGCAACACATACCGTTGGCGCACACGAAGGCGCAAAGCTGACGCAAAGCAGACACAAGCGACGCAAATAGCGCACATTAGGCGCACATTAGGACGCAAACAGTACGCTAAGCAGAATTTGACGCACATTAGGACGCTAAAGTTGTCGCAAAGCAGATGTATCAGCTTTTCGACGCGCATCTGCCGCCAAGTGGGCGCGGGAATCACGCAAAGCACTGCAGTGTTACACATGTACTGTAACAGCACACTTGAACAAAGCTGACTTGTCACAACAGTTGTGCAGCAGGGCCTTGTACGCAAAGTAGTCGGGAGTCCCCCGAGCTCCGATACGCTAAAGCTGGAAGCGAGCCGAGGCTGTGACAGGCGAGGCTGGTAGCGAACAGTAGAGGGGAAGGCATATGCACTGCACTCACATGCACTCCCTGCCTGCACCTGACAAAAATTTTTCGCGAAAGCTCAAAGCTCCAAGCATGCCTTGTGTCTGCAAAGCTTCTTACCTGTGGGTGCAAAATGCACAACTTGAAAGACACTGACTATACACCCGCAGGCAGGTTTCAGATGCACTCCTTGGAAAGTGGTGCAACGGTCGAGCTCAGAGCACACCACCGCCTTATGAATAGTCTTGGCAGTGATGATGAAAAGAAGCTCATCCGGAGTGCCTGACTCACCTGACGAGTGCAAAGGAAGTGTGGTTGCCTTCTCTGGGGCCACAACATCACCAGGGTCCGATGCCAACGGGGAAGTAGCACCTGCCAAATCTGCTTCCACATCGATGGTGGGGCAAAGCTGAGTGTTCTGCTCAAAAGCCGGTGGACCCCCTGGAATCGCAAAGCAGGGATCGGCAAAGCTGACAGACCGAGATTCCAGTGCCGGTTCCTGTAAAGGAACTTGTCCGCCGCGATGCTGAGGACACAAAGGTCGCCAACCTTGTCGAATGGAAAGCAAAAGTTCTTTCTGTAAAGTTAACGCACCGAAAACATCATCTCTGCTGTAGAGGCGTGCGCTGCTATGCCTGTGGTGACCTTGCACAGCTCGCCGATCTTCGCTGATGCAAAGTTGATTTGCCCATGATAACAGCGTGGTTTTACAGCTATGCAAAGTATAATTCTGCACCTGAGCATCTGAGAGCCTGTTCCAACACGATAAAAGGTGACGTAAAGTAGCAAGGCCCTCCCGATATGTGATGGGGACGAACAACTCGTCGTCGCTCGCATGGAAAAGTAAGGCATCTGGCTCCACAGGGCCCGCCACCTTCCCAATACGACACCATTCATTTTTCAGTAAAGCAAGCCATAGCTGGAACCATGGACCAACCAGGCCCACTCCTACCACCCCAAAGGGAGCACCACGCACTGAGGTATTGGTCCGGAAAGAAATTCCACGGCCCACCTCTTGTTCGTAAAGTAAAGAGCCCCACTTCACATGCATGGCATCGCTGAACCGCAGAGAGCCCCAAATCATAACCAGGAGCGCCCCGATGTTCAATTGCAAATCAGGAAAGGTATTTGAAAGCAGGCAAAACTCCAGGTAAGCAACAAAATCCAGTGGCAAAGGCACTGACTCTGGGCGATCTGCTTCGTTACGTTGGTGCGCCACCGAATGAAAAAGACCTGTGTAAAGATCCGGAAAGGAAATGGTGGCCACCTTGACCATCCACCTCAGCGCCTTCAACGTATTGAGGGGGAAGCATGACATGGGAACTTCTTCTTCATCCTCAGGGGACCGGTAAAGCTGTATCATAACATCATAAGCTTGCACCTGGGAGATCCGAGAGGCATCGAAGCCCAGATCCTGAAGCAAGGCAAAGTACTGCAGGCAACTCTGCACATACCTGACCAATGTGGTGTCCGCCACGGACGCCACCAGCTGAGCGAGTAAAGCTTCTGAGGACGCCGACTCTAAAATTTCCTGCAAAGCAGCGCTCAAAGGCGCAAGGAGCAAAACTAGCTGGCGCCACAAAAGAATGCCCTTGGCGCGGAGCTTTGCATGCACATCGTTCTGCAAAGTAACCCGTGCTGTCGAGGTTGCGGGCCGGGCTGGCAAAGCAAATTTGCCAGGTAGCACAGTGGGTGGTTCTGGAGGAAATGCAAATTCAGCTGAAGAAGCAAAAGCATCTGCCGCCTGAATGAGGTTGTCCACCATAGTGTCACTCAAAGCTGAAACACCAGCCTCGTCCCCAGTGCCTGAAAAGCAGGAGACCGACGAGGGAGGCCTGGACTCTGAGGGGAAGACCGCGTAATCACGAGCAGAAAAAAAAGCAGGTCTGTCCCTTGCGTCCTGTGAAGATCGCAGCGTAAAAGCAGAGCGCTGAGAGAAAACCGGTCGAGCTTTGGGCACATCACCCCGAGACGGCGCCGTAGCCGCTGGAGAAGACCTGTCCACCAGTGGAAAGTGTGGTCGAGGCCGAGGCTTCCACTTGGGTGCCGCAGGCACCGTCGGTAAAGCAGGAGCACCTGGGTTCCAAGATGATGGTACCGGCAAATCAAACGCCGAAGTGGCCTCCACCACAGCAAAGGAACCATCACCTGAAGAAAGTGTCAAAGCAGGACTAGAATCATCCTTACCGTCTTCCCGCTCCATAGGAGCGTCTTGCAAAGAAGCCTCTTCCGGTTGTCGCCTGTAACGTTTCACACGAAAGCGACTATCATCGGAGGCATCTGCCATATCTCAATCAAGTGAATCAAGAAAAGAATCACCGTCTGTACGCTCCGGTTGGCCTTCAAGAATTTGAAGGCGAGCACTCAGAATATCAATATCTGTATGCAAAGCAGGCAATCGTTGTTGAAAAATATGATCTACTCTTTCGTGTACTCCGCCCAAAGCTTCGAGAGTGTCTTCGCGTAGCTCAAGTAAAGCAGCAAAGAAATCTTCACGGATCGCTGCACTCTCTTTGCTGGCCTGCTTCTTGGCACCTTCAAAAAGGCTCCAAAGACTACTGTCAAAGTAAGTGCGGTACTCTTCCAGCTTTGCCAAAGAGGTTTGGCGCGACGATTGGAGAGCGGAAAGTTGCTCCTCCAGTGCAGCGATCCTGTCAGATAAAGTTGCCTCGCACAATGCAATGTCAAATTGCCTGACAGGGAGGTCCAACCACTGTAAAGTTTGTTGAAGCTCTGCCGACTGTGGAGCAGGGTCAGCCTCCGAGTCCATCAAAGGACGCAAAGAAGCTATGTTGTACAAAACTGCAAAACTGACGCGTGCTGAAGTAAATCATGCGCATGAAAAGTAAAAGCAATCTGCTGCATGTTTCAAATTTTTAAAGCATGGAGCAAAGCTTTAAGCTATGCTGAAGCACGCGTGTCTTGGGCCGAAATGTTGTGTTTGGAACAGTAAAACACCCATGAGTAAACACATGAAACGGGGGCACCGTCTCGAGCAGGGACACGGTACTCATAATCCAGGAGCCTCCGTCGATGGAAGATTGGTCCGACGCCCCGAGCAAGAGGGCAGCTCGGGCTTTCGCCTTTTCTACCCTGTTCTCCACCAGGTCGTCGAGGATCCCCGCGACCTGCCACGACCACCGCACCTGATTGTGGTAGTTCTGAATCCTTGACCTGGCGCATAACCAGGTCCGGGCGAGAGAGGTCCCATCGCCCGCAAGACCGCCTAGGTCCTTTCTCATATGATTCAACACGGACTCGGCGATGACTTGAGGCGAGTCCTCGAACGTCTTGGTAAGCAGCCTGAGCGCTGCTCCGCTCTTCTTCCCCGTCCCGAGGCTGGAAGCATCCCCGGAGCTCCCCAATCCACTTTGATCGAGCAAACTCTCCAGATCCGGTCCTTTCTTCGCCTGCGTCAGGTTTGAGACAATCTTGGTGAGCTGGAGCACGGCATTCTCGATGGTGGGGGCCGCGTCCTCGCCACTTACGCCAAAGCCTACACCCCCGGCCTCCAAGTCGTCCTCGGGCTCGTCCTCCAGATCCTCGCCCGCAGGCGCACCAGCATCGACGGCAGCCTCGGTCACTTTTGTTTTCTTGATCCCCATGAGCCTGGCCATCTCCTGCAGCTGGTCCGAGATCCCAGCTGCACGGGCTGCACTTACGGTTCCCCTGTCTAGCCCACCTAGGCCCTTCCCCGCCGGCTCCTTGGCTTGGGCTTTGGTCTGGCACCACGGACCTGAGCTTTTTCTCCCGACCCAGAAGCGGCCTCCCAATCTGCTTTGACGCCCTTCTTGGATTCGAGGAGGTCCTTGAGCATGTCTTTCATCTCCGCGAGGCCCGACTCGACATCGCTCATCCTCTTGAACATGCCTTCTCCTCCGCCCCCCGATTCGGCCGTCGTGAAGGCGAACTGCTCGTCCGCCAATTTGATGAGCGCCTCGGCGTGTGGGAGGACACCGTCCGCGGAGAAGTTGTAAGTGACGCCCTCGGTAGCAGGATAGATGATCCCTGTCTCGTCCTGCATGGCTAGCACTCCAACCCAAGCTTGGATGGCAACCTCCAAGGCGGGGACTCCCATGTCTCCGGGGTAGGCTCCTACAACATCCACCTTCAGGGTCTTCCCCAGAGTTCTTTGGGGCAGCTTCCTCACAGCAACCTTTTTGTTCCATACTGCCACCGGCACCGCGACAATGATTCGGCCTCCAAGCTCGGCAATCCCGATGATAGCAGAGGTCTCGTCCGCTTCGGAGCAGGCGATGGACCCAATCTGATAAC